ATTCATGCGCGATTTAATTTTAATGAATTTTCTGCACTCACGTTTCAAAAATTACGTTAAAATCGCGTAATTAATCATCATTTAAAATAAAAAATCGTCATCATCAAAAACAGCAGCCGCTTAAGAAACACATCAAGTTAATCATCCTGTAAAACACAAGAAAACAAACGGTTTCGATGAAAAGGTAGAGCGAGGATTAAATTAATTGCGAGATTACAAAACTGAGTGCTCGAGATTAAAATTGCCACTCTGTAAGTTACGTCCGTGTTAGTTTTCTTTCTTGCTTATTTTTCGCTACTTCTTATTACGTAATATATGTTTCTTCTTGGGGAGAGACGCTTCGTCTTCCATAAACGTTAAATTACTGGCATTAAATTCGTTCTGGCACGTCTCAGGCTCCGAGGCTTGACATTTGAGGCCCGAAAATGGATATTTTAACGAGCGTCTAAAAATACTTCTCTCGTCCGTCCTCCAAAGACTCTACTACATACACATTAGTGCATCACCTTTTTCCATCGCAAATATCCATAACATCTATTTACCATGACAAAAACAATAAAATACACAGTATATATAAGGGACATTTTGAATCATTACATAGAAATTACCTTTTCTATGCTCTCACAGATATTCACAAATATAAGACGTAAAATAGACATTTGTATACGCGTGTAATTTTAAAAGTGACCTAAGTCCACTTCATTATTGATAATATTCGAATGTGCGGATCTTCAAATTTCCAAAAGCATCGATGAAGGTAATTTTAATCAGTTAGTAGGTGTTCATGCAGGTGTTCAATTAAAACGCAAGCGATTCGTACAGGTGTTCATTCAGGTGTTCAATTAAAACGCAAGCGTTTCGTGCAGGTGTTCACACAGGTGTTTATTCAGGAGTTGACTTATGTGTTCATGCAGCTGTTCAATTAAACGCAGGTGTTTCTTATCGTAAGTGTTCAATTAAAACACAGTTATTCAATTAAACGCAGTTGTTTCTTAAATGCAGGTGTTCAATTAAAACGCAAGCGTTTCGTGCAGGTGTTCACACAGGTGTTCATTCAGGAGTTCACGTAGGTATTCGTGCAGCTGTTCAATTAAACGCAGGTGTTTCTTATCGCAAGTGTTCAATTAAAACACAGGTGTTCAATTAAACGCAGGTGTTTCTTATCGCAAGTGTTCAATTAAAACACAGGTGTTCAATTAAACGAAGGTGTTTCTTAAATGCAGGTGTTTCTTATCATAAGTGTTCAATTAAAACACACGTGTTCAATTAAACGCAGGTGTTTCTTAAATGCAGGTGTTCAATTAAAACACACGTGTTCAATTAAACGCAGGTGTTCAATTAAACGCAGGTGTTTCTTAAATGCAGGTGTTCAACTAAAACGCAAGCGTTTCGTGCAGGTGTTCACACAGGTGTTCATTCATGAGTTCACGTAGGTGTTCATGCAGCTGTTCAATTAAACGCAGGTGTTTCTTATCGTAAGTCTTCAATTAAAACACAGGTGTTCAATTAAACGCAGGTGTTCGCGCATGTGTTCATAGCATAACGCAATTATTGATACATAAAACGTTATGAAATGTTAATCAATTCTCGAGATATTAGTACGTTTTTTTTAAAGGAATTAAATATACTATTCTTATTCTAAATTGGTATACAGTTTTACCAACAAATCTAGTATGCGCACAACTTGATACATTGATTAATTGCATAACGCTTTCATAATAACATCAACAACAATTTCGTTTGCGCACCGAAGGAAACGCATTAAAGTGATGTCGACAGTAAAACACAGTAATCCGGTTTAAATTCGCGCGAGTGCAATTTGTACACTGTGTGCATCTCCGAAAAGCCATCTCTGCACGTCTCTCTTGCACACATAAAAAAAGACAAATCTTCCATCTTCGTTTCGCACAAACGCGATCTCCTCGCATCCCCAGTATTTATCCAGTTTGTTCCTCGTTTTATTTTTCGCGTTTAACTATTGCCGCCGCTTTTATTGCCCAGAAATAAAAGCGTGCGCGCGCGAACGACTCAAAACTAAAGACAAAAGCGGATACACACACACAGAGAAAATCCGAATTGGAGAAACGAAGAGAGACTAATAATGAATGTATGAGTTGAGCGGCGGCATCGATCCAGTTGGCAATTAAAGTCGACAGATCTTGTATTTTGATTTACGCCCTCTCCTCCTCCAACCCTCATTTTACAGGGCGGAATTGAAAATACGTCTGTTCCATTTCTTCTTCTTCTTCAAGGAACTTCTTATTTATTCAGCGTTAAATTATTATAATTAAATTCCCCCCGCGGACCGAATTTTAGCGGTTTACTCAAGGTCCTAATTAGGAAGAGGGAAGGAACACTCGCAAAATGGAATCTTCCACCTTTTTCACTCTTCACTCAGAGCTCCACCAATGTAAATTCCGCATTTCATCAGGAGATTACAAATGCTTTGAGTATTATGCAAAGAAACATTAATCCTCTTGAAGCAATCATTAAAAAAAAAAGAAAAATATATTAATCTTAAGATACGTATACACTCCATAAATATTACACATTATAACGCAATTTAGAAAGAACTAAAACCAGTAACTTATGTTTGTGCAAGCAAACGTTTACGTAACTGAAAAAGAATGAAATATTGTGACTATAGTTTTTTTTTTACAAAGTTTGTATACAAAATAATACATTTGAAAACTATTCATTGGAAAATAACGCAAATGTAATAATAATAATACAATGTGATGCACATATTAATATTTATAGAAATAAACAAATAAATGTATTTTAATATGAATGCATTGGAATTCCATTCATTTTCAAATTGAATTTTAAAGTAAATGCAATAAAATGAACATACAAATACTGACTTTTAATGAATAAACAATGTGTTTTTTTTTTGGATGATTCGAATGTTCCATTTGTCACTTATGAAATTGTATGCTTTATTTGTAATCACAATATTATGATTGGTATTTGTATGATGTCACAACAACGACAATTTTGAAAGCTTATAACAGACGAACGGATGTCAGCAGAAAGTGAGAATTTCAGATTTAATTTGAGTGTAAGACGATGTAAGTATCTTCATCAGTTCTTGAGTAATTCACTAAAAATTGAAGACATCAAAAACCCTGTTGGCAATTGGACAAAATTTTCAGTAAAAATAACAGGAAAGTTATCTAATTTTTGAGTTATCAAATATTTATGTATTATACTGCGATTTTAAGAAAATTTCGTGAAAATTTGCTATAAATTTCAATATGTTTCATGTTGGCTCATTCGAAAAGTGACAAACTCTACTTTACGATTCTCATTGGATCCTGCGTGGTTATATAAGCGTAATTTAACAAAATAATTAGCGTATTAAAATCATCTGTTAGTATTAATTAACGAAATACGACAAATTGCGTTTACAATATTGAATGAGAATAAACGAATTCTTGTGTAAACTAATTTATAACAAAATCAATATTTATTATTTGATGGTCGTTTCATACGCATCATATATATATTTTTATCAATAATTAATTACGAATCATATGAATCCAAAATATGCGTATTTAAATACGCGTTTAATTAAAAACATAAAAAAAAACAAAATCACGGATGTAGTGAATCGCAAAAATAAAAATCGTCATTACGTAATTTTTATTTTGTTTTCTACATTCACGAACAAAAAAAGCAACAGTTCGTAATATTGCTTTTAAACGTTGCGCTTTAAAGGTCAAAGGCTCGGAAATTTGAATAATGCAAGGAATGTATAATAGGTGTGTGTGTGTGTCATAGAATATTTTTGTTGTTTGCTTGTTTATTTTTTATTTTTTACCCAGTTCGCATGAAACGATCCAGTTTAATGCTGTTTCTTTATTATTTTTGCAGGATATTTTCGTCTTTCATTGCCTTTGCGGCAGTAATAAGGACTCTTAATGGGTTAGGCGAGGAATGCGAATAAACGTACGACGATAATAATAAAAAAAACGGTGGAAATGAGAGGCTGCAATAACTGCTATATGTACAATAGCAATTTAAAAGCGAAAAATATTTCATAATTTTATATGCTAAGAGATAATAATACGTCTTTTATAATTTTCCAGACGGAAATTTGATTTGCAAGAAAAGTGAAGAAAGATTGGATAAAGTCCGGCGAAACTTTCGTTGCGTTTCTTGGAAAAAAACGTCTCCGAGAAAGGAGTGAAATTCAAGCTAAATCCGATACGCATCTTGCATAACCAGTCTCGCGAAGATGAAAAGAAAAACACACCAAAAAAAAAAAGAAACATTTCACTAAAATTTACTTGACACTTTATGGAAATTACGTGTTTGTGTTTGTATAAACAAATCAATATAAAGTTATTTCAATTAAATATTTAAATTTGATGCAGTTAATTAAATGAATACATAAAATTTAAATTAAATGCAAATTAAACTTTCAACTAAATTTTAATTAAATTTTAAAACCGTATTGATTCATTCAAAGCATGTACAACAAAAAAAATAATATCAACTTGAATGAAAACTTGTGCACATCAATTATGTAAGCAAAAAAAAAATCTTAAATTAACTGGTTTTTGCACGAAGAATATGAAATTAAAAGTAGATTTTAAATAATTTGAGTTTTTGATTAAGTTTAAAAAATCAATGATGTTTTCTTACTTATAATTGAAAGTTTCAAGTTATAGTGAAAATCAATAAGAATGATGTTCGTCAATGGATCGTAAAATTCTTGAAGCAACAAATACTGTTATAATAATTGCAGATATTATGTTTTAGTGCTGAAAGGAATGTTGTGGAATAGAAATTTTACAGTAATTGGAGTGATGGTTTTTAAATAAATTATCATTTGAAGCGAACGGAGACGTCCTTTTGAGGACGACAATAATTTTTTTTTCCTGCTCGATCGTCGACGATTTGAAAGCGGATAGCTGCTCCGGTGGAAGAGCAGAGTAAAACTGGTGACCGTATATGGCTTTGCGTGCGAAAAAGAATGGAAACAGGAAACTCACCCTTGCCTGGAGAGGAACGACTTCGGTAAGGACATCGACCGCTGCTGGGAATCCAAGAAGCTGGGAGCATTGTTCCCATTGCCGGGGGCACTGCCTGGTCGAGTCAGGATCACTTCGCGCACCACTTCCTTGGCCGCAACGGAGGCCGCTTCCTCCACGTTAACCGGAGTCGTAGCACTAGGACTGCGAACGGCGGCGACGTACGCCTCGGTGACGGCGACGGAGGCGTTCACGTAAACTTCACTCGACGAGGACGATGCACTTTTTCGATTCGGACTCGGTTTCCTCGCCTTATTCGAATTGTTTCTCTTTTTCAGCTCCAGTTGAGTTTTTTCAGCCGGTACTTCGAGAGATCTTTGATGAGTGGGATAGCTTTGCGAGGATCTCATCATCGGTTGCGGCGGTGGAATCGCTTGCGGCCAACAGTCGACGGAATTGCAGATGCTTCCTTGCTTCGAGTTGCTCAAGTTTGGTGTTGTGGAACCTCTGACTAATTTGCTTGGTTTGCTGCCGTTGCCGACAAAGTACACGTTGTAACCGTTGTTGAGGATTGGAGGTTTCGGTGGATCTTTGATCTTTTCTTCGCGATTGTTGTAGCGATGCATGAGGAGCGCTTGAGCCGCGGCTCGGCTTCGGGAACCGTAAAGGAAACCTGTAACTACTTCAGCTTCACGCAACATGTCTTCATCCAATTTCTTGCTGGGAACTTTCAAGACTATTCTGTGCGATTCAGGATGTTGCTGCTGAGGGCTGATCCTTTCACGGTAATTTTGAGTTTTGCGGTCTGGGAGTTGAAGGCTTCGCGAACGTCTCACGCGCGAATTCTGCTCCTCCTGGTAATTCCTCGAAGGCGGAGTGCGTCTTGATGTTCCTGAAGGCGAACGCGACGGGAATTCGTTGCTGCTCGACGATGAAGATCCCGGCGAGGTTGGCTTTGCATCTGATCCCACTGGAGATCTTCTGATCTGGTTTCTGTAAGTCAAGCGGCTGGTGCGGTTCGAAGGCGATATCTTCTCCCTAGGTCTTTCCACTTGATTCGAACTTTTTGGTGGTATGCTGATGTTCAACGAAGAGCTATTGTTATCCTCTTCATCGGCGTCCTCGTAAACGTCTATGGAAGAATCCGTGTTTTCCGAGAGCCTAGGCATCGCCTTGCATCTGGGCACGTAACTGTCTAAGCTACGGAAACCCATCGAAGATGACTGCGAACTCGACGAAGAGGATTCCCCGTATTTCTGCACGAAGCGCGATCTGCGATTGGCTGAAGTATCCTCCAACGATTTGGTTTGCGGTATGCGCGAATACTTTTGGGCTTCGGTCATCGGCGATTTCGATTTTCGTTGTGTCGCCGGGGGCAGTGAGGCGGTTTTCGCCGTCTTCCAAGTTGGTGGCGGCGAAGGCGGAGGACTCACGTCGCTGTCGATGATGGCGTTCGATCGCGGTAGAAACGGTGGCTTCCCGAAGAACGTCCTGGTCTTCGTCAATTTGTTGCGATCCTGGAATGCAGGAGGCGGCGATATTATGGGCGTGATCGAGGGTGGCGGAGATTCCGGTGGGCCTCGATCCGGCGACGGGGTGCGGCTAAAGTCTTTGTTCTTCAGGGGAAGATAAACGGGTCTCTGCGGTTCCTGTTTCATCTTCACGTTATTGACGTGCTGGTATTCCGCCAACTTTAATCCGGTTCTCCGCGAAGCTATAGCCTTATCTGCTACATAACTGACCCTTCTGCTTTCATCCAAAGATCTCTGTTGAACTTGCACCCAACCCGATCTTCCTAAATAGACACCATCAACCTCCCGATCGCACCACCTCACCGGAGACAACTCCCTGCGACAGCTGCTGCTCCCCAAGTACATATCTGCGGAGAAGCTATCGCTCCTCGGATGCATACTCTGCGAATGCTTGTAGGACTGCGAGTACGAGCTCCCCAAGGACTGATGTTTCGTGAGGGATGCTCCTGTGGCGCTGCTCCTCCCCGAAGAGTACGACCTCGAACTTCCCGTAGACGTGGTGAACACCGACGTGGGGCTCGTCTCCCATGGCTCCGAGGTGCTCCTCAGATGAAGAATGGACACGTTCGGCCCCCTACGACAAACAACCAAATTTAGATGGGCGTCAAATTAACCTAACTGTAACTTCTCCGGGATTCAATAAAATAGCAATACGTATAGATATATTTATGCAAAGAGCAAAGTGTGCGTAGTCGTAATGTTTATTCAAGGATCAGCATATAAGGGGGGTCCCGGCCCACGGAGTTCTGCTGACATCAGCCTAAGACCAAGTTCATTGTCCACACCGAAAATCCACAGTTTTTTTTTCTTCCATTATTATTTAATTATTCATCCTCACCGTCCTTGTCCAATTACTTTCGCACCGGCCGTTATTTTATTTATCGTCTCGGCAAAATTTAAATTCCAAATCCGAACGCACCGACAACAACCCAATGATCACGATCCGATCCATTTGCATACGGAATTTGCGGAATTTCTCCAAGAATTTCTCCAAGAAAAGACACCATCACCCTAACACTCTTTATACAAACAATGCAAATACCGAATAAATACTATAAAATTAACCAAATTACATCAGGTATAGGAAACATTCTTCATTAACTTTCTACATAATACATTTTTACTTTAATTCCAAAATTTACTTGTTTATAGCAATCAATTAAAATTAGAAATAAACTAAAGCAAACTCATAAACATTCATTTACAATTCATAAAGATGCACGGATAATCCAATTAAAATGATAATCTGAGTTTTTCAGGAAACGTTTAAGAATGAATGAATCTTTTGCTCTCTTGCCTTTTTTAACGTAATTGAAATGGAAATCCAATAAAAAAATGTAAATGCCATTTTCTTCAACTTCATTTCTCGAATTGATTACAGAAAAAAATATATTTCCTGTATTTTCTGTTCGATTTGCTTTATAGTTTTTTACGTTGTTTTTTTTTTATTATTATATTTGCGTTTAAATTACAGACATATAAAAATAATAATGTAAAGTTGCAAGTCCAGATACACACACATTTCCTCAATTGAATTTACATATCAGAACCTTGGATTTTGTATTATATGTGAAACGAGATATATAGAATGTAACATAAACGTTTTGTTTTCTTTTTTAAGTATTGAACATGTTAATAATATAAGTGATTTTTTAAGTATTGTAAAAAATGTAATATAATGTAAAAATAACAAATTTATAGTAGATAATCAATTTTGAAATGGAAATACCGAAATTGATGAACGGTTTTAAAGAAAGTTGCTAATGGATTTACGCACATTTCTAAATTAAATAAATAAATATTGAATCTTTTGTAGATTATTTAAGTACTTAGTAAGAGCAATTAAAAAATTACAGTACAATTGATAAAGAACAATAATTCTGAAAATCAATCAATTTTATATTATTTATCTATATAAAATTTGATTCAAGTTATTAAATACAAATTTATTGATTTTACAATTTAATTAGCAAAATTTGTGTATATATATTGTGGAAAATAAAAAAAATTTGACTGTAGTTTATAATACAATTAAAATATTTCACAAAATATTAAAAATTATTATGTATTATGAAAAAATATTAAGTAAATATTCAAAATTAATGATAGTTGATGATATTAATACAATTTAAATTCAAATTGGATTCAATAAGGAATAAGAAAATTAAAGAAAAAAACGGTGTCGAGTTTGAAACCTTGGAGTGTTGTTTCAAGTATGAAATAATGAAAAGGCACGGCACAAATCGGACGGAGCCAAAGTTTGATTCAAATCGATCTTACCTTTAGTTATTATTGAAATTATGTGGAGTAGAGAAGAAAGGAAAAAAATCAGAACTAAACTAAAAGCGTGGGACAGAGGAAACGTAAAGGAGAGCAAACAATTAAACGATTCCGAGTCTGTGCTCTGCTTACTGTTTGTTGGAAGTCGGAAGGCGGAAAACTGGCTGTGTTTTTTTTTTAAACTTTGCGCACACATTCGTCCTCACAATATGCATATTACGTGCATTATAACGGTTAACGGGTTAAAGGATACGAAAGGATCTAATTTCGATGTAAACGCCGCGCGAGATCGGATTACGCGCTCGTGATCTTGAAGCAAGAAAATTAAAAAATAAATAAACGTTTCTCTTAGATGTAAAAAATTGAATTGTTGTTTTAATTGCGAATTATAATTTAATTTATTATTAGTATTAGTTGGGTTAATGTAATGTAATGATTGGTGTATTTACCTTGTTGTGGCCATGTCGGGCTCGTTGCTCGGACTGAGCCTCGTGGATCGGACTGGTTGTTCCTCGACCGCCCACCGTCTTTCTGTCGCGTTGACCCTCCTGTCTCGAGGCGCCTCCAGCACGCTGTCCACACTCCTCTGCAACAAACAAACAACAATAATAACAACAATACAAGCAACAACGCGACGAAAATAAATGGAAAAGCGAATCGTAGACGAAATGCGTTTCGCAAAAGGAACCAACACCTACTCGATTCGTTGCCTCACATCTGAAACATTTTCTTATTTTATAGCATTGAACTCTTTCATTATGTCATCTGGTAAATATTTAGTAGACTATACAATTTAATATCTGCACAGTCATCATCTTGAAATAAACATTTTTTATATCATTATTAACAATTTTACTTCAGTTCATTTTCTTTATGTCGTATATTCATAGACTTGCCTGAAGATCCATATTTTGAACCTCATTCATTTCACTGTCAATCTTTGATGAACTATGGCCCTATTGCTACAAGCATCGAAAGGGCTCACCAAGTCGATTTGAACCTATTAGTCGCCCTTGTATATTAGTTCATTTAAACTAAAAAAATACATTTATATATGAACATTATTTTGTAAAAATACAAAATTTTATGAAAATTCAATCATTTTTTATATTTCTTAAAGAAAAGTTCAAATAATTTCTTCTATCTTTTCAAAACAACAAAAATTTCTACAAAATTAATCATTACTTCAAAAAAATACTTTTAATTTATCAAAAAAAAAATGTATTAAACTAAATTTTAATTAAGAAAAATACTTTAGATTATTTGATTAACTAATATTTCTTACAGCATCAGAAAAAAAAGAGTTTCACAAAACGCCTCCTCTTTATTTCTATTCGTTTCGTCAGCTCGGAGATCTTTCACCTTTAAAATTTTTCTCTCACGCATTTTTAATAGAATTTTACATTTAAAACAACGTGTAAACATAATTCAATCATAAATTTAAGAAAAAAAGCAAATTTTACAAGAATTATCTTCTGTTTTATCCAATATTTCAATATTTTCAATTTTTTTTTTGAATATTGGAAATTATTTACGAAATGAACAAAATTCTTTCAATTGAATCAAAATTCTGTATTATTCGACCGAAATTTCTCCTCTTTATTTCTATTCGTTTCGTCAGCTCGGAGATCTTTCACCTTTAATTTTTTTCTCTCACGCATTTTTAATAGAATTTTACATTTAAAACAACGTGTAAACATAATTAAATCATAAATTTAAGAAAAAAAGCAAATTTTACAAGAATTATCTTCTGTTTTATCCAATATTTCAAATATTTTACAATTTTTTTTTTTTGAATATTGAAAATTATTTACGAAATGAACAAAATTCTTTCAATTGAATCAAAATTCTGTATTATTCGACCGAAATTTCTCCTCTTTATTTCTATTCGTTTTGTCAGCTCGGAGATCTTTCACCTTTAAAATTTTTCTCTCACGCATTTTTAATAAAATTTTACATTTAAAACAATGTGTAAACATAATTCAATCATAAATTTAAAAAAAAAAGCAAATTTTACAAGAACTATCTTCTGTTTAATCCAATATTTTACAATTTCTTTTTTTTTTAATATTGGAAATTATTTACGAAATGAACAAAATTCTTTCAATTGCATCAAAATTCTGTTTTGTTCGACCGAAATTTCCATCATTTATTTGAAAATTAATGTGTAAAATTTTGCATTTCGTTTAATAAATGACTTACATTAATTTAATAAACGTCTGATGTAATGTTGGGCATTTAGTAAAACAGATTCGAGAGATTTACCAAAACGTACAGTTTAAGTGAACTATTATACAATTTGTTGCGCAAACATTTGCACAAAACACGTATACAAATACGCCTTCCCCCCGGAGTTTAATAGCTTCAAAAAGCATACGCGTTTGCAGTGCGCGTGTTAAAAGGGTGTCCGCATCCTGCAAAGTGATAAAATATGTTCGGAGGCATTAGAAAAAAAAAATCGACGAAGAAAAAGTAACAAAAACGAGCGAGGAACGTGCGAGGACAAAACCCAAGGGCTGCGAATTCCGAACACAGCTTCTCCATTTTGATCCTAACTGAACACGCGCTCCCTCCTCCTTCTTCTCCTTTTCATCATCTTGTAGAATATTGCGAACGTGCTGCGATCGGTCCAAGCAATCACCGAAGCTGCCGCCAAAATGAAATTAGCTTAATCGTTCTCTTGCAGTCGGATGGAGGAACAATGTTCGCGTCAATGTAAACCAAAGATGTCTTCATCGGTGTAATGCGATCAAGATGTTAATCAAATTTCGGTCGTCGTCGTGCGGAGGTATTAGCGTGGACGAAGCAAACCCGCAGGGTAAATTGGCTACGCCGCGACGAAGTTATGCAAATATCACTTATCCCACACTCAACAGCTAATATCATTTGCATATCGAAAACATTAAGGTTTCCAGTTGAATCGAAATCAATACGCAAAGAAGAATCTAATTAATCTTTGAAAACAAAGTAGGGAAGAGCATTTGTCTTGATTCTATGCGGAGAATGGGCGAATATAAATTCTAATGAGCAGAACCGAAAATTAGATTATTAAACGTTGTCTGCGCGGAGTACGATGATGATTAAAGAAAATTGAGAATAATTTAATCCAGTATAAAAACGGAAATTGCATTTTTCACACGCCCGCAGGAAAACTGCAACCAGAACACCTCCTCTCTCTTACCCCATCTACAACTAACCAATCCAACCGACTCTCTTGGCCGTATTCGATCTAGCATAATTCATCTTCGCAATTTCTCCCCCGATTGGTATTTATGCACGGTAGAACTTTATTTTGCAAGAATATTACTTGGCAAGTATTTATCAAAGTAACCGAATATAAATTATTTCTTATCTATCACATATTTAAAATGCAATTTATTATTCAAAAATTACTAAATTTTGTTCAAAAAAAATAATAGAAAATTATAGAGAAAATTCAATTTTTCTCCTTATTGAAAAATATGACCTCAGATATTTCTAATTACAAAAATTAGTGTTAATAATTTTAGATATATTAATTAAAAGTAATCACAATCGTACAATTACTGTGCAAGTAGTAAACTTGAATATATAGTGAATGAGTTCATTGATTCAAAAGAAATTTGATAAAAATATTCGTATATTCGACGATGAATGCAGCAAAAAAAACGTTTCTAAGAAATACGCACGCACAGCCATTGAATGAATATGAATGAATGATGAATGAAAGGTAGTAAAAAGCTGTAAAAAAGATGTGTAGAAAATTCCTGTCTCGAGTCTAGACGATAAGATAAGAAATAATTTATTCCAAATATCGCCGAGACAACAAAAACTGCATACATTCTTTCAACGTCTCGTCTATATAGTTTCTTTAGATTCCTTTTCTTTCAAATTATTATTTTTTTACACAACTTGCGTAATGTGATTGCACAAGTGACTTGTAAAGTAACGCTCTGTTTTGCAAGTATAAAACTTGCCAAATTGTACAAATAATTACTTAAATTAGATGTATTTAGCAATTTACTTGACACGTTACTTGACAAGTACTTTAAAAATTGTATATTACTATTAGTAATTCAATTTGATATTAGTAATAAACAAACAATCTACATTTCTGAAAATAAATACATAACATATTCTAAAATATACTTCCAACATGTAAATTGCAATAGTTTTGGAACTTGAAACTTCAGTAACAAAAGAAACTTGTCAAGTAACGTTTTGTTGTGCAAGTACAATTTGCTGAAATGCACAAATAATTGCGTAAATTAAATGTATATTTTTATAGCAAAATACTGCGAGTATTTCAATATATTTAATTGACACATTACTTGACAAGTACTATAAAAATTATATATTACTATTAGTAATTCAATTTGATATTAGTAATAAACGAACAATCTATATTTCTGAAAATAAATACATAATATATGTAAAATATACTTGCAACATGTAAATTGCAATAGTTTTGTAACTTGAAACTTCAGTACCAAAAGAAACTTGTCAAGTAACGTTTTGCTGTGCAAGTACAATTTGCTAAAATGTACAAATAATTGCGTAAATTAAATTAAATTATTTTTATAGCAAAATACTGCGAGTATTTCAATATATTTACTTGACACATTACTTGACAAGTACTTTAAAAATTCTATATTACTATTAGTAATTCAATTTGATATTAATAATAAACGAACAATTTACATTTCTGAAAAAAAATACATAACATATTGTAAAATATACTTCCAATATGTAAATTGCAATAGTTTTGGAACTTAAAACATCAGTACCAAAAGAAACTTGTCAAGTAACGTTTTGTTGTGCAAGTACAATTTGCTAAAATGCACAAATAATTGCGTAAATTAAATGCATATTTTTATAGCAAAATACTGCGAGTATTCAATATATTTACTTGAGTCGTTACTTGACAAGTACTTTAAAAATTCTATATTACTATTAGTAATTCAATTTGATATTAGTAATAACCGAATAATCTACATTTCGGAAAATAAATACATAACATTTTGTAAAATATACTTCCAACATGTAAATTGCAATAGTTTTGGAACTTGAAACTTCAGTACCAAAAGAAACTTGTCAAGTAACGTTTTGTTGTGCAAGTACAATTTGCTAAAATGTACAAATAATTGCGTAAATTAAATTAAATTATTTTTATAGCAAAATACTGAGAGTATTTCAATATATTTACTTGACACGTTACTCGACAAGTAGTTTAAAAATTGTGTATTGCTATTATGTCAGTTTTTTTTTACACAATTCAGTAAATGTATTGTTGAATGTAGTTCCTAATTGCAATTTACTTGCAGCATCTTTAAAGTTTTGAAATGGAACTTGAAAATGCAGTACCAAAAAGAAACTAAATACGAAAAGAAAACAAAAAATAAAAATACTACTTTCATATATAACTCGACGTAATATTTTTCAATTCAGACGTCGTCAATTAACTGCGAACGCGAAAAGCCGGGGTGAGCTCTTTCTTCGTTTCTAATTGGGATTAGTTAAGGTAGTTTAGAGTCGAGATTCCGCGTCGAAGGGAGCACACGCGAGTCCACTCCACTCCACCCGACCGGAAGCAGTCAATTAAATCCT